CATTTTCAGGCAAATGAACAGATCCAGAAAGCGGGGGGCTTAAAAACCTCCAGCATCATCATTGCCCTGACAGACGGGAAGCTGGACGGTCTGGTGCCCTCCTATGCCGAGAAGGAGGTGAGTGTCCTGGGACCCCCGAAACTGCCCCTTACACCCCGCTGTGCCCTGTGTGTGTCTCTGCGCCTGTAGCTTGGAATTTGAATAATTCACTTCCTCTCTCTCTCTCTACCCCTCTCTCTGTCTCTCCCTCCTTCTCTCTCCTCTCTCTCTCCTTCCCTCTCTCTCCTTCTTTCTCCTCTTTCCTTCTTCCCTGTCTCTCTCTCCTTCTTCCCTCTCTCTCTCTCCTTCTTCCCTGTCTCTCTCTCCTTCTTCCCTCTCTCTCTCTCCTTCTTCCCTGTCTCTCTCTCCTTCTTTCTCCTCTCTCTCTCCTTCCCCCCTCTCTCTCTCTCCTTCTTCCCTGTCTCTCTCCTTCTTCCCTCTCTCTCTCTCCTTCTTCCCTCTGTCTCTCTCCTTCTTCCCTCTCTCTCCTTCTTTCTCCTCTTTCCCTCCTTCTTCTCTGTCTCTCTCTCCTTCTTTCTCCTCTCTCTCCTTTCTCCTCTCTCTCTCCTTCTTCCCTCTCTCTCTCTCCTTCTTCCCTGTCTCTCTCCTTCTTCCCTCTGTCTCTCTCCTTCTTCCCTCTGTCTCTCTCCTTCTTCCCTCTCTCTCCTTCTTTCTCCTCTTTCCCTCCTTCTTTCTCCTCTCTCTCTCCTTCTTCCTTCTCTCTCCTTCTTTCTCCTCTCTCTCTCCTTCTTTCTCCTCTTTCTCTCCTTCTTCCCTGTCTCTCTCTCCTTCTTTCCTCTCTCTCCTTTCTCCTCTCTCTTTCTTTCTTTCCTCTCTCTCTCCTTTTCTCTCTTTCTCTCTCCTTCTTTCTCCTCTCTCTCCTTCCCTCTCTCTTTCTTCTCTCTTTCCTTTTCTTCCCTCTCTCTCCTTCTTTCCTCTCTCCTTACCTCTCTCTCTTTCTTCACTCTCTTTCCTTCTTCCCTTTCTCTCTCTTTCTTTCTCCTCTCTCTCCTTCCCTCTCTCTTTCTTCTCTCTTTCCTTCTTCCCTCTCTCTTTCTTCTCTCTCTCCTTTTCTTCCCTCTCTCTCTCCTTACCTCTCTCTCTTTCTTCACTCTCTTTCCTTCTTTCCTTTCTCTCTCTTTCTTCTCTCTTTCATTCCTTCTTCCCTCTCTCTCTCCTTCCTTCTTTCTCTCTTTCTCCTTCTTCCCTCTATCTCTCTTTCCTTCTCCCCCTTCTCTCTCTCTTCCTTCCATCTCTCTCCTTCCCTTTTTCTCTCCTTCTTCCCCCTCTCTCTTTCTTCTCTCTCTCCTTCCTTCTTCTCTCTCTTTCTTGTATCTTTCATTCCTTCTTCCCCCTCTCTCTCCTTCTTCTTCTCTCTCTCTCCTTCTTCACCCCCCTCTTCTCTCTCTTTCCTCCTTCCCTCTCTCTCTCCTTCTTCTTCCCTTTCTCTCTCTTAATTCCCCCTCTCTTTCTTTCTTCTCTCTTTCTCCCCTTCTTCTTCTTCTTCTCTCTCTCTCTCTCTTTGTCCACAGGCAAAGCTTTCCAGGTCACTTGGGGCTAGCGTTTATTGCGTTGGTGTCCTTGATTTTGAACAAGCTCAGGTGAGTTACAAAAGATCCTACAAACTTTAAATCACACAACTGTCTCAAGGATAGTTCAATACATTCTTTTCACGGAGGACTTACTATG